TTTATGATTGGGGCCCCTGCGGCCAGGTCCTGAACTGTGCCCAGAATTTGGGGTGTCACCATCCTCGTCAGCCTCCCTGGCACTTGACTGTGCTCCGTGGGCCCCTGGGCTGTGGCTGACCCCTCCCCACCCCCCCAGCGCTGAGCCCTTCTTGGTGGAACATGTCCATCTCGAGGGGGCTGTGTGCCTAATGGCCCAAACAGCACAGCATGACCTGCACTGGTAATTCTTGTGTCCTTGCAAGGCACTTCAAGATTAGATTCTTACGGCCACACTGTATTGAATTACAAAGCATTTTCTGTATATTACCTCACCTAATTCTTAATGAACTCTAAGAGGCAGCAGACAGGAGAGGTTATTCCCATTTTAAAGATGTGGAGACTGAGGCTTACCGAGGGAACGTCCAGGGCCACGTAGCTGGTGAAGTGCAGTGGAAGTCGGACCGGGGCCTTCTCACTCCTGACCGTGTTTTTCTTTTTCTTTTCCCTTTTAAAAAATTTTTTTAACATTTGTTTTTTTTAGAGAGAGAGAAGGGGAGGGGCAGAGAGAGTGGGAGGGAGAGAGAGAATCCCAAGCAGGCTCTGCACTGTCAGCACAGAGCCCGACGTGGGTCTTGAACCCACAAACTGCGAGATCATGACCTGAGCTGGAGTTGGACACTCTGCCGACTTACCCCTCCCAGGCACCCCCCTGACCCTGGTTTTCTAAACACACTTTCCACCTCTTACAGGGAAAAGCATCGGGGGTGGCCTTGCCTAGGCCCTGTGCTGCCTCCGTGGCATTTCTCAGACTCGCTGCTTCTCATTCCCTGGACCTCACCAGCGCGGTCTGAAAAATGATAATGCTCGTGACTCGTTATGTGGAGAGAATCCTGATTTCTTAATTAGGAGATACGTGCATGGGCTTCCGGAAGGCATCTCCTCAGCGGCCGCTCCCTCCGCTCCAGGAGGGGCCGCGCTCTGGAGGGTGGAGGCCGCCGCTGGCCCCTTCCTCTCTGCCTTCATCTGAGAACCTAACACAAGCCCAGTTTCTAGAAAACACAGGAAAACACAAGTGGGCATTTTCAGGTGGGTGTGTGTGTGGTGTTGTGCGATAATGTATTTGCATTTGGATATTTAGATAAAATATTGTGCTTCCCTCCAAATGCTTGGCCATCTGTGGGCACAGCTTTTCCGCCGTCTTGGCTGCTGGTATTTTCCCAGCGTGGGCGTCTGGGCGCTCGCTCGTTAGGACTGGCTCCATGCAACGTCGCACCTCATACCAGCCGGCTCCCGGACGGCGTCCAAGCTGCACCCGGCTCCTATGGGTTATCCCGGGCGTGCGCCCACCCACTGTCCCCCCTTTCCTGTCCGAGATGCCAAGAAGATGACTCTCCAGCCATCGTGGGGTGGTCCCCGCTCCCCGGCCGGGCGCTGGGTCCTGGGCCCCTCTGCTGAAATGAGGCCTCCTGGTACAGAGACTCACGGAGCTCCTGGCGCCCCGTGGCAGGCATCCGTGAATATTTGTTGACTGGATAAATGAGCGTCTCGTTTTCTCTCCTCTCTCTCCCTCCCTCTGCCCCAGTTCTGTTGATGAGGCTAGAACTGACCCAGGGGAGGAGGCACCCCTGCCCTTTTCAGGCAGATGGCGGGCAGCAGACAGCTGCTTAGGGCCCTGCAGTGCCGGGCGTGGACTGTGGCTGTCCTTCCGGGTGCTCTAACGGGCCTGTGGGGGCTGTCCCCATTCACAGGTGCACAGATAGAACCCCCGCCCCGGTCTCTGGGCTCCTTCTACCGTCATGCCCTCTCGGTGTCCAGCCACTGCCTTTCCCAGACCTGATGTGACGTTCCAGTGACTGAGAGAGGGTTTTGCTTCACTTTTCCTTCCTGCTTGGTCCTGCCCCCCCTTTGTGTGACGTCCCCTCATGTACACCCAGGAGGGGTGGTCTGGACCTGATGGGTGGAGGCTGGGGTCAGTTGGTGGCCTCCGTCCAGGCCCCCCACTCGGGAATCTCCCAGCAGGGTGCCCAGCACAGCGAAGGCCAGTGTAGGTACCTTCTCCTGCCCTTTAGATGGACGAGGTGTGCCCAGGGGACCTCCCTGCTGGGCTGCCCCTGCCTTTGGGGACCAAGGGAGAGGGTCTCTGTTTGCGTTAGGCCTTCACTTCAGCACCTTGGCTGAGGGTACGTGGAGACCCTGTTTGGGCGGACCCAGCCCCTCCCGAGCCCCAGGGAGAACGCACCCACAAGAGATGCCCGCACCCCTGGGGACTTCTGGGCAACAGCACCCACCATGTCCTGCCACAGCAGTTTTCATTTCTTCAGGGGCTCTCCAGGTTTTTCACTGCTTGAGTATCTGTTTCTGCTCTGTGGCTGCGTCAGTGTCTGGTGTTTAGAGAGCACCAGGCACGGGACGCTGTCTGCTAACAGGGCCGAGGTGCAGGGCAGAGCTCCCCCGCCTTCTCCTGTGCCCGGCTGTCGGGAAGCGGGCCAGGCAGCCCCCTCCCAGAGGCCTCGAGGCACATCCACACCCAGCGCCACCCCTCCGCCAGGGGCAGTCCCAGATGCTCTTTGTGCACGCTGTGATCGGCTGTCCGCCTCGTGCTCGGTGGAGCCAGGCGTGGGTGCAGAGTGGGGTGTGGCGATGGCACGGGCAGGCCTCGGCTCCCTGAGCCCTGGGGCTACCGGGCCCTTCGAGGAGCCTCCACTCCCCTGGGATGGATGTGGTTTTTTTTTTTTTTTTTTTTTTTGCCTTGGGACCCTCGGACTGCCCAATGGCAGGAGTGTTTTTTGTGAGACTAGCTGTGCGCGCTCCAACGGCCCGGCCTGGTCTGGCAGTCCATAAGATGAGAAAGCGTGAGGATAAATCCAGAGTTCTCTGGTGGAATTTCCATGAAGGACAGAAATGAGATTAATGAATAAAGGGTTTGGCTGGAAATGCTCCGGCTTAAGCTTTCTGGGAAAGAAAATCCAGGATTTAGATGTGACAGTGGCGGCCAGCCCTCGGTGAGTCCCGGCTGTGTGCGAATTGACCCGAAAGGTGGGCCTGGCCTTCCCCTTGGGCGGAAGGGGAAACTGAGGCGGTCGGAGGGCTGCGAGCCGGGCAGTGTGGCCGGGGGTTCCGGAGCCGCCCCGCTCCCAGCCGGCACCCCCACGCCCCATGGGCCCCACAGCCGCCCTCACAGGTGGTGGCCCACCCTTCTCGGCATCCCCAGAGAACCCAGGCTCCTCCTCGGGCTCGTATCTCGTTTGCCTTCACGAGGAGTACGTTTCCGGGGCGCCGTGGTGCTGGCGGAGCTTGGGGGTTGCTGTCTCAAGGCCTGAGGACCCCCTCGGAGATAGGGCTCCGCCGGCCGTTCCTTGGAACCTACAGGCCAGTCATCATATTGCTTGGGACCCCTATGGGGTCCCCAAAGAAGGGGATGCTGCGGACCTGCCCGCTCCCCACAGCCCGTCAGCCCCGTTAGCACAGAACGCCCCTCACTCAGGGCCCCGCCTGGTGCCGTGCGTGTGACTGCGCGTGAGCTGCTGGAGAAAACGTGCGCAGGTGTTAAAAGGCGCACGGAGACGCCCGGAGACGGTAATGACAATGTTTTGTTATCTTTATGCTGTTTTCTTTGCACGCTTGTTAAAACGTGGGGCCAGAGTGTCTGTGACGGACCTAACAAGTGCCTTCTAATCAGGCCGGAATGTTTCTGTCAGGCACAAGAAAAATGCTTAGCGCGAACAAAGATGCCTTCTCCCCCCAAGAAACACATTTGTTTAAAGATTGGCCTGTCAATTTGTGAATCAACATTTCGGCTTTTTGCTCAGACGCCACGCTCGTGCCGCTCTTGCCGAAGAAGGGGGAATAATACAAAGCTGCTGTTTGTTGTTGGAAGGAAGTAAACTTCATCAGGTCGACTTAGATGTGTGTTTCAGATGTCACTCAGTACTCCTGTCTTGTAATGAAACGCTGCATACAGATTTCTTCCCGAGGCTCAGGGGGATTAGACCCAGTAAAAGAAGAATTCAGTCTTCCTCGCCGTGGCGCATCAGAGTGAGAAGTTTAAAATCCACAATTTATTCAAATATTGATATTTCTACTTGTCAGAAGAGAGGGGCCTTGAAATTTCCACTGAGCACTGTTGTCAGAAGAATTGCAAGAAATGTGTCAGATAATTCATAAACGGAGTTCACTGCTGTGAAATCAGTTGGGAACAGGGAAAAAATATATTCTTGTCGATGTAGAATAGGGGCAATATAACAGAAAATAGCACTCACTTTTCCATCATGTCAGGCAAATGCTCAATTTGGGCCAGGTATTTTTTTAAACAGCCTGCTGCTTCTAGAGAAGCCCAGAATGCATGAAAAATGTTTTGAGTTCTGCTTTGTAGACAAGAGATCTGTTTGTTGTTTTTTCCCCTCTGAGACCTCTATTTCCCATCCTGCAGGAGCCAATCGGAAGGCAGCTGCCAGCGGCTTGGCTTGGCGAGCAGGCAGTCCTGCATATGGTTTGCATTAAGGCCCTAAAAAGCTGTGAAGAGCCGGGTAATGATGTAAAGGGCCAGCGTAAATTCCAAACTGTTGATAGCGGGGAGAGGAGGTTCACAGAGGCTCCTAGGGTTCTGGAGCCCGCTTCTCAGAGTCGGGCCTGGGCGTTTCTCTGCTTTGGAGCCGCAGAGTGGAGGGTGGGTCCCATGCACAGGAAGAGGCCCCGCATAGTTGAAATTCTTGGTGCATGAGGACCGCCCTCCCCCGCCCCCATTTGCACTTTGTGGTGGGCTTTCTGAGCAGTGGGTCCGATCCTCTAGCAGACCTGTGGCGGCGACACCCCCTCTCGTGTGGCCACATTGCTTTCAAGGGGAGGCGGCGCGGCGGGCCTCGTGAGTCCGGCGTGGCGGGCCTCGTGAGTCCGCGTGCGCCGAGATCACGTGAACACGAGTCCAGGAAGGGCCACGAGCGTGTGTCCCCAGCGGGGCCCTCCTGAAACTCCCGTGCCAGCCGCCCCTGTCTCTTTGTTCGCAAAGCCCCCTTGAGGCCAGCAGGGCTGTCCTGCATGTGCGTGAGGAGGTGTCTGCAGGTCTGTCTGGGCCTGGCTTTCTCGGAGCCAGTGGTCACTGTTTCCCCAAATCCACTGTGGAAGCTGACTCCCTGCGTCTTTGCTGCCGGGCTTTTGGCCTTCTTGGTTCTGAACAACAGGTTTGCTGTCTCTCTCTGCTCTGGTGTGAACCCCGCCATCCTGCCCTGCTTCACCCCTGTCCCTCCTCTCTGGACCCTCCACACTGGGGGAGGCGGACGACTTTTCCAGGGGGCCCAGTTGATGCTACTCCCCGGCTCGGGTCCCTGGATGGGCGTGGAGATTTTCAAGGCGCTGTTGATGGATCATGGGAGGCTGATGGGGCCAAGCAGGGCTGTGAAGAGCAGCCAGAACCCGGTCTAGGGAGAAAGGGTCAGTCGGGTGCCCTGAGGACAGCGCTCTAAGCCAGCTCTGCAACAGCAGGGAGTTTTTTGTTCTCCTTCTGCTAACTGCTGGCCCGGGAAGGGCCACAGGTGCGTCCCTCTGACTCGGCCAGGATTCCAGTCCTGGGGCTGGAGGCCCAAGCGCACTGTGGCCGTGGTCATCGCCACGTTTGGTGCGGGCGCAGGGCGTGCTCTGCCCGGCTCTCTGGGGGATCCCATTCCCCGGGGCCGTGGGCTGGGGAGTGGCCTGTGGATGATGAGCTTGTGATGGTGTCTCAGAGGCTGGTGCTGGGTCCTGAGCCTCTGAGCCCAGTTCTGTGTGGCAAATCTTACCCCCCTTCCCGGTCAGCGGTCTTGTCCTAGCTGCACCTGTGCCTGGCGGGTGTGGGTGTGCTGAGTTGCATCAGGAAGAAAGCAGCTGTGAACCCCCACCTTGGCCATGTGATCACGCAGTGGCAGGGCCCGTGCATAGGCTTGCAGCTCAGCAGGGGACCTGGGTCCAGCGTGCTCTTAGGCCCGCGTCTCTGCGTGGAGTAGAGCACAGTGAAGTCTGTACCTGGATGTCTCTGTTGCTGACATCACATGACTGCAGCTCGCAGGGAGGTGTAGGGGAGGCGGGGGACCATGGGGGTGCACCAGGAGCAGGAGCAGTGGGCAAAACCATTGGCTTTGAAGACAAAACTAGGTTCTGAGGTATTAAGATGTTTTCACTGAGATTTGATGAATGTCTGGCAAGTTGGTGGTAGGGGAGGGCTCTCTGGACCCTTCCAGTTTAGATTTTAGGATGGTAAATGTAGTCCTTTCTGACTTGGTTTGCAGATTTTTGAACATATGTGCACACGTGTGTATGTATGTGTATATATGTGAGTGATTTTATTTTACTCAATTTTTTTCCCTGTAAAATACATGATGGGTGTGGCGGGGGGGTGGGGGGGGGGAAGGCGTCTCTTTTGTTAGAAGTAATGGATGCTGTTAATTCTTCCAGGCCCTGTGCTGGCCTAGGGGACTCGGGTGTTTACACAGTCTGTGCTTAAGGAAACTGTCAAGTAATCCCTTTACGGGGGTGCCCGGCCTTGTTGGCTCCCTGTGCTTGTCCCCACACGCAGAGCTCTGGGGTGTCTGCTCTGCAGACCCCGGCCCTGGGCAGGCTCGTTAGCGTGGCAAGCTGGAGGCCCCCACGCCTGCCCGCGGCGGCCGGCCTCCTGTCCACGCCTGCTTACTGTCTGCTGGGTGTCGGCGGGTCTGTCATCGGTGCGAGTGGAGCTGAGCCCTGACAGTGAGGAGGTAAACGCTCCCTGCCTGAATCCCCCATTAACTTTGTGAGGCGTATTGATTTCTTGTAAAAATAATGATATTGACAGGCCTTCCAGGAGTAATTGTTTCCAGAGTGTGGAGGTCACTGTGGTGAGGGAAGGTTGGGAGCTGGGCTCTCAGAGCCTGAGAGCCCTGGGGTGGGTGCCCCCGCTCGGGTGGGACCCCTGCCAAGGACTTGGGGCTGCCGTTGGACACGTGGGCCCCTGGCCCCCGATGGTGTCCACGGAGGGTCCGTGGCCAGTGCGGGGGGTGCACAGCCTTGGGTGGGGTATGGGCGGGGGTCTAGCGTGGGGTAGCATTCCAAGGTGCGCTGGATTCCAGACTTTATCAGAGTTGTTCCTGGGCTGATTGCTAAGGCTTGGCTGCCGTCCGGGCCAGGGTAGTGGGAGGCCATGGCCTCTAAGGAGAGCCAGGGTGACCATCTGTCTGCCCCTGCCAGTGGCTTCTCTTTCTGGGGAAGGTCACCTCCTTCTCTGAGCTCACAAGGGAAATGGTGGAGAGGCGGCTGCTCTTGGGACAGCAGGGCCGGCCGGAGCCTGACAGGTGATGATCGCCGACGATGGTCACTGGTGTCGTTGCAGTTTGAGGGCGTCTGGAAAGGAGCCGCTGGTCTGACGGCGAGAGGCTCGGGCTCTCCTTGCCCCTGGACATGGGATGGGCTTACGTGCAGGAGAGACCAGAGCAGAGCTGGTCCCCAAATACCCAGCCGCGTCTGTCCAGGGCTGCCACGTGGGGGTGCGTAGCATTCCAGGAAGGGCTTTTTCCAGTCCTGGAAAGGAGGATGGATGAAAGAGCCACCCTGTAGGTTGAGGAATCCTACCCCGCCCCCACCCCCTTCCCCACGTCCCAAGTGCCTGCAAAGGGGCGGAATCCCTTTGACTGAAACAGAAAACCCTGGCAAGCAGTGTTAAAAATCAGGGTGGGCACGTCATGTCCACGTTCTAAACTCGGACTACATAAAAAATATACTTCAGTTTTATCTAAAGAAGTTACTTAAAGAGGCAGTACGTTGCTTTTAGAGTTTCCCAGCAGTTGGCTGGTGCGTCTTGTGTATTGATTGCACACCGTGTACTTGGCCCCAAAAGGGTGGTGCTGCTGTGCCTTTCAGCGTCCGTCCCAGACCAGGCAGCGTGGCCGGGAGGTGGGGACGGAGGAGCCCAGACAGACGGCCACATGTGCTCATAGCTGGCCCTCGTCCGCAATATCTCCTCTATGTTTTCCCCCAAACGAGGGGAAATCTGATCAACACCACTAACGAACTACAGCAACGGGTTATCAATTAGCCGGGCCAGCGGCGGTGGCCTTGCCAATACTGGCTTTGTCTGAGTTTTCCTGGAGAAGTTGGTTTGTGTCACTCAAGGAAGCCACCCGTTCAGGTACATCCCCTCTTGTCCAGGCCGAGTCCCTCCCAGCGCTATTTACAACGAGATTTGTGTTCGCCCTAATCCAATAGCCATTGCCCAGGACGGCCCATGTAGCTCTGCTGGGAAATGGTGTCCAGGCTTGTAGCAACATCTAATGGGTATTTAGGTGCAAACTAGCTGTGAAGTGTTAAATATTTACATGTGGAATGCCAATAGTAATTGTCCACTTTATCTGAGCTAGCCTAGGGAAATGCCTTATTTGTTTCCATGTTACTTCAATAAACAGAAAGCTGGAAAATCCTCCCGCTATTTCTTGGGGGCTTAGAATTAATAAAGCCAGGCGGTATAAAATATGTGCTTTGGGTTTTTGAATGATCACTTCTGCACCAGGTCATATAATATGGCTTTAACTCCATGTGGCCTGTCTATTAAGCAAGACAGGATGAGCCTCACAAATAATAAAAAATATTTATGCTTTTCTTAGTGATACTAACAAGGTAACATATCAGAGGAGAAATGGCAGGAGAAGAATAAGGTATCCGTATCTTATGAATTCACGGCTCAGTGGGGTCCCGGCCGGCTCCCATAAACACCCTAGGATTCTCTGCTCGGCATTGCCATTATTCCACAGATTGTATTTTTTGCTTTTTGTTTGTGAAATCTGAAGTGTCATAAATGCCTCCGTCTCATCTATATTTGATAGTTAATATTAGTCTCAACCAGGAAAGTGCACTTTACATGTGACAACATACGATTACCTGGGAGTGTTATTGCAAAGGAAAAAATCAATACCAATTTATAATTCACGATCGCAGTCTATCAGTTTTTATGGCTCTCTATCCAGTCTCATTAATTTTTTATTATGATTGACTGAAACGGAAAGATTTTTAACATGTTTCGCTGTTATTTATTCAACCTTAATAATTAAATAAACCCTAATTGGCTGTATTTCGAGGCATCTTGGTGCTGCGGCCAGGAAGGGTTGGGGTGACCATCCATTATTAATTCGGGAGCACCTCACATTCCCTTCTGAGGCAGCCCAGGGAGGGGACCTGCCTCACACCGTCACCAGAGTGAGCGAAATAGATTTTGTCGTCACCTAATCAAATTCTGTTTAGGAGGAGACCATTCGTTTTAATTCAAAATATAAATTATCAATAACGCGGAGAGAAACGGGATGAAATATTCCCGGAGCCACGTGAGTCGGTGCCCCGCACCTGTGCGAAACTTTGATCAGCAGCTAATATCTTGATTAATGAGGCCGAGGGCCCCGTTGCATGGAGAGCCGCCAGTGGGGACGCCCTCGCCAGGGGTCTCCCGATTGGCGGTTCACGGGTCCCTTTGAAAGGTGATTGACAGATGGAAAATTGCACTTTCAAATTTCATCCGTATTCATTTGAGTTGTTCTTCTGCACGTCAACTGCTTCCCCTCTCTGGCAGGCCACGGCTGTATACATTAGCCGTTTCCACAGTGAAAAGAGAAGGAAGACAATCCCGTATCTGGGCGCTCTGAAGGAAAATCAATCATGTCATAAGTGAGAAGTATGGATAAGTTTGAACTGTGGCAACTTGCATCATTTCATCTCTGGCCGCGCCGGTGGGTTTCTGAGCGTCCGGGCTGCGCGCGGCCACCCCAGCTGGAGGGAGAGAGAACGCGGAGTGTAATAGAGTTGGGCCAAAGGGAAATTTCTTTCCCTGGTATTTGTCAAGGAAGTTTCTCGCGGTATGGCACGGAAGGAACATCAAACCCTAACATTATAGACCCTGGACGTTTTGACAGAATTGAAGAAAAGCTTCTATTGACTATGAGGAGGACACACCGACGCTTCGCAATCAATCGAGCGTCGGCCTGGCGTTTTTTCAGATTTTTGTTTTCGCCGGACTCTGCTCGCGGGAATGGTGGAGTGTGAGCCGTCCCTCGGAAGGAGCCTGCCGCGGAGGCCACTTCAGAGCCCCCGGGGCCGGCCGGTCCTCCCCAGGGAGGGCTGCCCACGGGGGACCCCGCCCGGGGCACAGGGGCGCAGGCTCGGAGGAGCCGCGGAGGCCGAGCGCGCTCTGTAC